AAAAAAAGTTGTCTTGTTTTGAGAGTGTGGGTGGGTATGTGCCGGTGCTATTTTGAGTGTATATGTGTGAGTGGTTGTGATTGTGAGAGTAGAGGAGATACACACACCCACACCTACACCCACACCCACACCTACACCCACACCTACACCCACACCCTCACCCACATCAACACCCACACCCTCACCCACACCCACACCTACACCTTCACCCACACCCATACCTACATCCTCAACCACACCCACACCCATCATCATCATCGTCAACAACATCATTATCTAAAACACGAAAAATTTTCTTTTTTGTTATATTAATTAGTAAGTTTATATGATTTTTATTAAAATAATTGTTCTAAGTGTAAATATTTTCTAGTTGTTTTTCTACATAAATACCTTGGTAAGATAAAGTTAATATTTTAATTTTGAAAATAGTTTCTTTCTTACTTGTATTATAGAAACATTTGAATACGGAAATCAATTTAGAAAATTCATTGAAGATATAATCTTAAAAATCATTCAAACTGGAATGGACATGTTCTTCGAAGCATTACTTACATCATTAATTAGTTTTAATTATGAAAATTCTAAGGTGGTGTAACGATCAAGGAATATACGTTGACGAACAATCTGGATTTACTCTGAATAGAAGATTAGAAACGAGAGTACTGACTGTATGTGAAGATATACGCTTAACAATTGCAGCACCAAATAGACCTATACTAGGAATTTTTGTTGACTTTAAAAGTGCATTTGACAAAATGTAGCATCCCGCTCTTCTAGCCAGTTTATTATTGTTACACATGCCTCTTAATCCTGAGGGTGGGTGTGGGTGAGTTTAAATATTCTTTTCGTTCTACACTCACAGAAACTCACACTCACACCCACACCCATCAATATCAATAAGTAACAAATTTTGAGGAGAGAACTAAAAAAATATGATTCGAAATATGAACCAGTAGTTTTTAGTATTCTCGATTAAATTCTTTTTTTTCTTCACTTTTTGCAAAATAAAAACCAATTCAAGCTCAAAATTCTATCAAATTATCTCATCCAGGAAAATCATAAATTATTATTGATTTATTTTTAAATGTTTAAAAATCTGATTTAAGATCAAATTAATTAAAATGATATTATCCATGACAAATAGTTATCATATATGATACATAAAAAAAAACTAACAAATTAAAATAATTATAATTTGTATTATTTATAAAAAAATTTCTTTTTTCATTTTTCTACATTTGACATAAATTTATTACTATGAAACGAATCGTTATCTTGTCTAAATTCGAAGATAATACATGAAAATTTAAAAATAATATTTATTTAAATAAATTATATTGAATAATTTAAAATTTTTGTAAAAAAAACATGAATTATTATCTAATAATATTACTTATTAAAGTACATCAAAGTATTTTCGTTTTTTAATTTCAATTCAATAAGTTACATTTCAAGATAAACTGGATTTTAATATGAGTGACAATGTTGTTACTTCAGTTGAAATAATTATTAGTTATGAAAAAACAAAAATACCTGACTTTATTTTTCTTCTCTTTCAAATATAAATGTTTAAGAAAAGAATTGTTCTTTAGTTTTTTTCCTCATCGTTGTCGTAGTTGATTCAAACATTTTTCTTCATCATTTGGGGCTATAAGGTTGCTATTATGACTCATATAAAGGACAGAACACCGAATATTGTCGCAACTGTTTCTGAACATCTCCGAACAGATGTTATTTGTGTTTGACCTTGCTAGGAGAAAAAAACAAATATTTAATACACATAAATAAGTGGAAAAAAAACGTTGAAATGTGTAGCAACACATACGATTAAATGTTTGTTATAAGATATTACTTAATAGAACTGATTAAATACTTTAAAAAAATATTTTCTAAATGTCAATCAGTTGTTTAAACTCAATTAGATTTAATAAAATTAATGTTCAAATGATTCTTTGCTTTTTTTCCCAAACTTTATTTTAAAACAAAACAGAAAAAAGAAATTACTTTTTGAATAATTGAAAATAAAACGTCCATGTTCGACTGGAATGTATAGTATAGTATATTGCTTTATTTATGAAGAGAATATATAACATCATAAGAAGAAGAAGAAGAAGGAGGAAGTAGACTTAGACGAACTTCGTCTCTGTAGTCCAATGGAAACCATTAAGAAGAAAAAGAATAAAGAATGAATTGAACATGTGAAAAATAATGAGATATAGTAGAAAAAAAGAGAATGAAAATACTATTTTAGATCACATAAAATATTATATATTGTAACATCAAGACATGTATGCTTATCTCTTCATGTCGTCACACGTCGATAAACATCAGTAATATTAGAAGTAAGTATGGAACATAATATGTAAAAAAAGAAAAGGTGAATACTATAGAGATAAGATCTACGCCTGTGTATTAAGTAACAACTAACATAGACTGCTTTTCTTATGAAAAACAGAAGATCGAATCGAATAGGGATTTTTTATTAAATGACAGAAGTTGATTAATTCGATTGGATGTTCTTCCAATTGATACTATTGCTTGTTTTTCTTTTAGCAAATCCGGATTTAAACTGGAATATTATCTATTTCATATAAATATATTCTGTTACCACGTTTTGATTGACTATAAAAAATATTAAAAATTGATTTATTCAACAAATTCAATTCATTTTAAATTTATTCAAAAGACTTACGCAACTTTTTCATTTTGTTTATCAAGACCAAATAATCCAATGGCATTCGAATCAATAGCTTGAAGATCATCGATTAAAATATATGGCATAAAATAATAGAAATAAAATTGATAACGTAATTTAACTTTGGTAAATTTATCAGTATTATCACTATCATCCAGGTCGAACAATCCGGCACGGAAACGGCCGGTTCCATGGCATTCCGAAGATTTCATGGAATCCTGCGTCAGGAACCATCGTTATGGGCATAAACTCGGATATAATTCATTTTATCTTCTTATCAGGAAAATAATTTAATCCGAGCTTTAATCTAAAGTCAATCATAAAGAACGTCAAATAATAATTTTTGATATCTAGAAGAACTTTGGAGTTGTGTAATCGATTAGAATATTAGATTTATTTTCTGGCTCGAATTGTTTTGAAAATAATCCAGGTCGCACCATCGGGCCCGGATCCGCCCGGTTCCATGGCATTCCCGAGGTTTCATGGAAGCAATATTCCCCGCTGGAATTCACTGGAATTTTCCGCCGTCTTCCCCTTCATATCCCACCGTAAACGAGCCGAAAGCGTCCGGAGGGTGGGTGTGGGTGAAGGTAAATGTGTGGGAAGGCGCGGGAATATTTCTGTGATTTTCGTTTGCTGGATGCTTAATGGGTAGTAATTCGTCGATTGTCAATATGTTCTTGTGGAAAAGCGTTTTCATGTTGCCTCTATCGACCCATTATAAGACACATTTTCATCGGATATTGCTGATTCGTTGACAGATCCTAGTAGGAAACAATGATGTTCTGCGGTATTTCCGAATCGTATCCGGTGAATTTCCAATATAGTTCCGGCTTATGGATACGGTCGGAATTCTAAGGATACGGTACGGTGATTGCCGTCCCGGAATACTGCTTTCACTTCCGTAGATTTTTTCGATGGGTTCCTGAGGGAATGAAGTGGGAATCGGTGGGAGTTCACTGGAAAAAGGTCCGGTTCCTGACAGTTCTCTCCGGATATGCAAGCCGGAAAGTTCGACCTGGGAAAAAATAAAAACGATCAGAATAAATATCTATTCTTGATAATCAGTGAAATACTGTTCTTTAGCCTCTACCATAAAATTCTATCTCCTAACATTTACGTAAAGCACCATCTTCAGTTTCATTTCATCAAAAAAAGTATTTTTAAATGATATTATTTCAAATATACTTCATAACATTGATTGTACATTAAATTTCTGTTAAAAAAATTTCTAATCATAAGAATTATTTCGATATTCGCACTTATTTCATACGATTTATTTAAATAATTTTGTATTACATCTGATGATAAATTCAACTTACAATTTATATTTAATTGAACATTTTTTTTTATAACAATCATGTTAATAAACTATTCTTTTCTAAGATTGATATCGTTCTGTGGAGAATAACAGATTTAATTCGCAATTTCTAAACATTTAATAGTAATTTGTCTTTATATCTAATTGATACAATAACAATTGATGTTAAACAAAAGGAAAATTTAAATAGACAATTTTTTTTTTAATTATAATCATGAATAATCCATATTAAGTAAATATGTTTCATCATCATCATCATTAACAATAGTTCAAGTCATTTTCAATCTCAACGGAAAATTCATGTCATTGGTGTTATTAATGAAGAAATTTTGTGAAAATATTCATTGAATTTTAGAGGAAAATTTCTATTTTTATTTTAATATGTATTTTTAATACATCTATTCCAGTCAAAATTATTAAATAAAGAGCTCAAATTGATCGGCATTCACTTTTATCAACAATCGTTCGATGACAACTTTTCAAAATAAAATTTATTTCTTCAATTATTCGCTAAACAAATGCTCGTCAAGATGATCATTCAAAGTGGTTCTTTCAAATTCTTTATCAAGATTATTTTACCATTATCTTACGAGAAATTGCATATTAAATGATTCAATTTCCTAAGTTCTTGAGAATGAGGCTGTGAGTATGGGTGTAAATGTATCATATTTATTTTCATCTCGAGGGTGTGGGTGTGTGGGTGTCGGCGTGGGTATGGGTGTATCGTATTTAATGCACTCACACCCACACCCACAAGTTATTGAATTTTATTGCATAAACTCCATTTGATTGGTATCATAGATTGAATTGAATTTAGACACAAATAATCAATCTCTATATTGATTTTAACACATGAGACATCATGAAAAGCTTTAGAAAGAAAAATAGAAACTTGAGAATTCGGTTGTATGAGTAATTATTGTCACAGAAGAAAAAGAAAACGATGGATATGTTTTTTTTGTATAATAGATTCAAGATAGAAGTTTTTAAATCGCCATCATCGGAAGTATAGCTAATTCTATAGAAAATGAGATGATATAAATCAACTAATCAGATGAATAGATTATTTCATAAAAATCAATAAAGATTAGACTCTTTAAACTACTTTATTGTATGTATACCAACCAATTCAAAATGAACTTAAATTCTAAGTATACTTTTACTTGCTTTGTATATTTCGACCTCTGATGAGCCAAGTTCTTTTGAGATTTTCTTACATCTATCAATAAATATGCGTATAAATTTCATGCAGTATGTGAATGAACTTTAATAAAAAAAAATGATGTGTGACGGATAATATGTTCAATCAATTATTTTGATAAAGTATTAGTAAATATAGGAAGAGAGATGTGATAGATATGAAAAAAATAACGAACAAGTCAATACATCGAGTAAAACAAAAATATTGTTGGAAATTTCTTTTTTAAAAAGTACATTACGCTTGCCATCAGTCACGAATGCACTTATATAAATACAAAACATGAATATAATTTATAGTAGTATAGAAAGAAAAATGTTTTTGTTCGTTCAGAATACTTAAAAAGAAATTAATTGCTTGGAAGAAACCAGTCGTTAGGTTTTTTCCGTTTAACTGTTTTTTCCCCAGTATGAATCACATTTGTCCGTTCCGGGAATTATTGTTTTTCTTTAATATATGTATATAAGAAGCGTCTTTTTACTTTTTAAAAAATGACATAACGTTTTTGTTAAATGGTGAATGACAAAATGACTTGTTCTCATATGATAATATGGCTGGATGCGAATGCAAATGATGGTATCAGTAGTTTTCGTACAAAACTAACTGAGGATTCTTCTCAACATGTCAAAATCTTTGTTGATGCCAATCAATGTGTTACATTTATTCAAACAAATGGTAATCAAAAGATTTTTTTTATTCTTTCTGGTTCATTTGGTTCAAAAGTTGTGCCATTAATTTATGATTGTGAGCATATATATCAAATATTTATATATTGTAGTTCAATTGCTAAGCATACTAGTTGGGCCATAGATTATACTGACAAAATATTAATGTTCGAACATGAAAATGATTTATTTGAAAGACTTTTCAAAGAAATTGAAGCATATTTACATCAACAAGCCGAACAATATCTCAAACAAGCTGATCTTTGTAAAGATCGTGCACAACTATTTAAACAAGAACCATGTGGATAAAATAAACGAATTTTTATTGATAATTATTTGAATCTCTACGACATATAAACATATTTGCATGTAGTTATTGAACATAATTGTTACTATTAAATGTTTTAATTATCTCGAAAACAATCTTTCAGATAGTGAAACAATATGCAACTGACAATTTTATTCAATGACTGAAATTAAATGTATTTATATGGCGTAGATAATCACACGCATTAATATCTTTGAATAATAATCAAGAGGTCATTTTACTTCAATTATTGATCAATAAAAACAATCATTAAATTAATAATAGCAATTTCTTTTATCTTATTTTTCAATCTTTCGAGGAGTAACAATACGGAAAATATGCAATAAAACGAAAGAAAGTTTCTCAAAATAAATCTCGATCTCGTATATACAACTAGTTGTATTAAGTTGTTAGGTCATTAACAAGTTGCTTTCGTCATTACGATATGGTAACTAGTTCAGTCAGAGATCATACCACATAGTAATCATTTAACTACTTAAAATATGTTGTTGTATAGGAGGCCAAGTATATTCTAAGGACGAAACAGTGAAATCCATGACTAAAGTCTTCGTTGTCATTTATTTTATATTCAATCCAGATTTATTATCAAACATAAAGTATTCCAGTGTGGGTATGAGTGCTGGGTGAATAGCGTATCTACACCCTCACCCACCCTCAAGATGGTTTAGCTAATCTATTTCGATATCTTATAGTGTCCTATCCGAAACACCTAAGTGTGATGATCATTAAAAAAATGAGAAACCATTGTAAGATATATCTTCAAACAATTTCTCTCTTACTCTGAATCCGAGATCAGAAGACTTAAGTTGATTTTTCTACATTATAAAATAAATTATAATTCATCATATATTTAATGTATCTAAGTTGAACAATACATGAGAAATAAGTGGTTCTTCTTTTCATTTAGTTCTTATTAATGATGAATACTCATTGATTAATTCAACTAGATCATGTTTTGATAGCATATCGGTATATATATCGCAGTTTTTCAACTTTTTCTTCATCATACGAGGCCTCGTTCAAGACTACTACAGTTCAATTCCATACAAGTTATTCTTCTTCTTTTATGGCATGGAACTCTATCGTAAAGAATTAGAAAAGTAAATATGTCTGAGAAGATCATTTATACACATACATATGTATGTGTATTACTTTATCAGTCGGCTTTGTCCATTACATTTTTATTATTTACAGACTTGTTGTCTGTACGCGCGCGTGAGTTACTACAAACTAGAATTAATTCAAAAATAAGTGGACAAAACCTTCTTTTATTTATTTATGAACTGTTCTCTATCATTTCTTCTTTCACAACTTCGATTCTGTCTTTCGTAGTCTTTGTGTGAGGATGAGTTGGAGGTAATATACGCTGGTTTATGTCCTGAGCACGTTCAAAATATGAAAGTGCTTTCGAATAGTCTTCCATATTGTAATACAAAGTACCGATGTTGTTGTATGATGTAGCCAAATCAGGATGATTTGAAGGAAGAGTTTTTTGTTGAATTTCA